TGGCGGGTGTGTGGGAGCTCTGAGGGAAGCCGTGCTGGGCCTCTGTGGGCAAGGGGAGATGGTCGGTCCCTCGTTACTGCTGGGCTCACGGGAGCGTTCACAAAGGTTGTGTTAATTCTCTTTAACGCGTTCAGGAAAGAGTCCTCCAGAGAACGTTTCTGATGGGCCCTTGTAAGGTTTCTGCTGGGAATGTCCCAACTTGTTAATATCCTCAAAAAACCAGAGGTCATACAGAAATCCTCTGGTGCTCAGAGGGCTTGCTTCCTGGTGGGCAGCTCACTAGGTGGAGTAACTCCTGAGCAGCAGTGTGGCCCTTGTAGGGAGGCAGAGGACATGGGGTGCGAGACATGACCCCACAGCACCAGGGCCTCTCCTGGGAGCAGTTTGTTTCTCAGCTATTACCTATTACAACTAATCTTCCTCTATATCTGTTGATATTAGTTGGCTAGAATGCTATTAATCCGGAAGGTTGGGCTGGATAACTTGAGATCTTTTCTAGCCTCTTCTTTCAACTTAAAGGAGGAAATTGAGCTATTAAAAACACTCTACTTGATTTCACCCCTGCCCAAACTCTCCTCTTCCTCTCATACTCCCTTCTGTTTTGCTTTCTTTGGGAGTATGTGGTTTCTTAGAACATCCTCCTCATGGAAACTGGGGGTGCGTGGGTGTGCAAATTGCGTTGTTGTTCTGTCACCGTAAGTCATCTTGTTTTCATCAGCAGGAGAACGTGTTAAAAAATACAGGTGTGCTACTTTGTGGAAGCTAGCCAGTGTCTTAAACAGTTTTTCCTTTTTTTAAGAAGTGTATGCAGATCATTTACAATCAGGGTATGGAGGAAAACTTGCTTTTTATAACCTCCCAATGCAGTGATCGTTACTGCATTACTTTATGTGGAAATTTAGTATGTAGTATAAATATGGGTTAAACAAGCATTCCTAATCTGGATAAAATTAAATATATCATCTATGCCAGCAGTCTCAGTTCATTCACCTGCAGAAATTTTCATTGTTGCCTTTGACTACAGCTTTCAAGTCTTTCTTTTTTTAAATTGAAAAAAATGGAAAACCAGGGAATCAAACTAGAACTTCTTTCCTAGCTTTAGCTCAACTGTTCTGATTTGGACAGTAACCATTTAACAGTTGGTTTCTAGACCTAAATGGGTTCAGACTGGCTAAGTTAAAAAACTGTTAGTTGAATATAGTAGAAGTTCGTTGTTCAAAAGATTATGACACAGTAATTTATTTTACTTTTTCCACCCCCTACAATGCAAAGACCAATTAAAGTGGGGAGTGGTACTGCAGTATATTTTAAATAGCCTAACTTCTTTTTTTCCTGTTTCATACTGGAATTGGGTAATAATCTCAGTAGTTTTAACTCTTGAAGTCATGATAGTTTTCTTTGACTCTTTCTTTGTTACAACAATTCTTCCATTGTTTTGTGGAGTCTTTTAGAACAGGATTTCAGTAACATTATTATTGTGTTGATTGTTGTTTCTGCTATTCTTTTTCTCTAAAACAAGCTGAAGTTCCTTCAGATCGTGAAATCTCTCAGTTGACAAAGGAGGCGGGGGATAGGAAGGATAAGAATTAAGATGTAGATATTACAAATCGAGATATTACAACTTCTGTTTTACATATAGTGGGAGATTTGTCAATCCGGCATTACCTTAGCAGTTTTTGTGCTTCTACAGCAGCTAAACTGAGCAGGAAGATGCAAAACTATCAATTCAACTGAAGTAGATATTAAAAACCATTTATGCAAGTTTATATAGAGAGAGATAGGAATAAGGAACTCCTGTGCAGCCAGCAGACTGTAAAGGATACACTGATGTTAATTAATTAAACCCCCATTGAATTAAATTAACTGTTAGAAAATACATTCTTTTCCATTATGTGTCCCCATCTCCTTTCTCCAAGCGTACAGACATACCTACAGGAAAAAAATCTTTTTGAGTAGAAGCTAGGGCAGCTCGATTGGAAGGAGAAATGAGAGATATGTCTGATTATGTCTTTATGCAAGTTTTGTTTGGCATATTCTGTCATCTGAGAAAACTTGTGTTAGGCCTTACTTCTTTTTCCTGCCCAGATACTAAAGAATAGTATATCCTCTTGTCAAATGCAACTAACGAGTGGTAGATAGACTGCTTTTGGCACTTAACATCTGTATGTGAAACTGAATGCTCTATATTGATTTCTGCTGCTTTTTTAAAGCGTGATGCTTCAAAATGTTAAAGGAAACTAAAAAGTTTATTGGTAAATCCCTTCAGCCAGCCCGACCTGTGCATCATCTGTCTTCTAAGCAAGGTGAGTAGCATGGCTAAGATACAGTTCACTTTGCCAAAGCTTCAGTTGCTTTGAAGGAAATAACAAGGACATGTAAGGTGACTTAGATTTTTTTTTTTAGATTAATTTGGTCAAAATACAGTGATGTATAAATACCTTGTGTTGATCTTACTAGATCATTTCTGTGATAAAACCTGAGTTTACATTAGGTTTATGCAGAACTGTTCTTGGTGTCGTTCTTCTAGCTTGGCATCTGAAATTATGGCTTCAGAAAGCTGGATCAGGCTTCTCTGTTAAATTTGGATTTCTTGGGTTAGTTGACTCCTGCTGTTGAAAACATAAAATACACAGTTTAAAAAATAGATTATTGTTTCGGTTTTATTGCAGGTACAATATTCTGCACCTTACTGTTTTTATCTAGCTTTCATTCAAGTTTAAAACAAACAAAAAAAAGGCTAAGAAAAAAATCATGCAGTATTTATGTCAGGTGTGTGTATTTTGTTGTTTTTTTTTTTTTAAATCTCTGTATGCCTTCTATATATTGCAGTATTGCAGCTATTATTACTGTTAAGTTAAACATTTTTGTTGGCCAGAAAAACAGTGACAGCAGTGATGATGTGGACAGAAGCTAAGTGACATGATAAATTTGTACTTTGTTTAAAATTCATGGAAGAAATGGAAGAATGGTCCCATAGTGATTTAGAGCTTTTAAGTTGTGAATAAGTGACTGTGTAATCTCTTTGCAGTTGGATTTCAGTAATGTTCTTGTGGCAAGTACCACAAAATAAAAATGTGGAGTCTGTTTAAAATATTTTTTCTTAATGTTTTCTCTTATCTTCCCTGGCATCAGCTGTTGCATTAGACCTTAAAAGTGAATTACCTAGCAACACTGAAGCATGTTTGCAGAGTAAGGTTGACTGTGTGAGTATTAAATAAACAGTACATGACAAAGTTGATGGGATGTTTTCTGGAGTGCTGTAAAGTGGAGGTCAGCTCATCCTTTATGTTACCAAAAGAAAAGTAAACTATATTTCCAACTAGGAGTGTTCTTGAATCTGTATGTTATAAACCAGCAGTGTCAGAAGTGTTAAGAAGTATGAGTTTCAGGAATGCAGTTCCCTGATGTTTGCATGCACTAGTAGTTGAAGAATACATCATATGGGTTACTTACTGAAGAGTCTTCTGAAAGTCTGGCATTTCTTTAGTCTTCATTGAATTTGTCAGTGTTAGGATCAACTCCGAGGATAAAGAACAATGAATTACAGAACTAAAACTACTATCTCAGGATCTTAGAGTCTGCAACTTCTAGTCTTCAGTCTTAGAGGAAGTGGAGAATATCTACTGCTAATAATGAGCACAATGATAGTGCTTGTGTGTAAGATGTTAGCCTTGATTCTAGGGAATTTTCACCAAACCGTGTTCAGAGTGAACGTGGCTCAATACTCACTGTGCCCTAATTGAATAATTTAGAGCAAAGAATAATTTTTATTCCTTCATGGTATGGAAACAGTTTTCAAAGGGTCTGGAGAGCATTGAGTCCACTACCTCAGACCTGTGTGAGGTAGAGAGAGAGGCTTGAAAAGTCTGCCATCAGCCAGTGTCAGTTTTAATTTACTACTTCTTCACTACCATTTAAAAGTGATGTTGAGCTTCAGGAGTACGTGCCCTGCTCTAGGGATATTCTTTATAGATGTATTCCATTCTTTACAGATGGATTTCAGATAGGAACACGTATAAGAGTATTGTTGCAAGTGGTGATACTCAAATGTTAAGTTTTGGGCCAAAAACCATGTGTAATACAACTCTTGATATTATAAAGCAGTTGGCAGGAGAGTGTGATGGGAGATGGTGCAGGAACAAGTGTAAAGCTATTGTGGTCGCGTTGTCTGGCATATTGCTTTAAATTATGCTTTATCATCCATGTCTTCTTCTTATGGATTTGAGAATGTGTTAAATCCTTGTTTGTACTTGGAAAGAACCTTTGAATAGCTAAGACTTGTGAAGACTAGCTGAACATCACAAAGCAGTTAGAATTGGGAGTATGGCTCTCTGATGACTTGATTCTCTGAAATTCCTATATTTTTCAGGTTTTTTTTTTCTCCAGAAGTTTTAGTCAAATCAGGAAAAGATAACTAAATTTAAACCACAGAAAATGGAAGTGAGAGCAGGGTAGATAACTTGAAGAAATATTTTGCCATTTCACAATTTGTAGTCTTAGTGCACCATGAAAGCTGTTGGTGCAGTTACAGTACAAAATGTTAACTGCTGTCTCTGTCCAAAAAGTAGTATGTCTTCTGCTTTTGACAAATGCTTCCCAAAATGTTCAGTTCTTCCTGCTCCCTTTCTGCCCCCACCACATCTGTCTTGGAATGAGATTAAAATTCCTCAGCCACACCTGTGTAGCCTTTTGCAAGCTAAGACAAACTGTTGAGGGTAAACTTGTTTCCTGAACAAGTTCCAAAACACTCGAAGGTTTTGGCAGCTGGAAGGAACTCGGCATTATACTATAGATGTTGGGTCTTTATGCTTATGGAACCTTTTGCTAAGTGAGAAGATCCAAGTTTTGGTTTTTTTTTTTTTGGTCTTAGGGAACATCCTTCCTGATTTTATTATTGCCCAGTGTAGCAGCTTCTGGCTGTGTTCTGGGTGAGATAAGAAAAAGAGGAGATAATTGTGTTCTTTTCTAGAAACTAGCAATAGCACTGTGAAATTCTGTCTAAAATATTGCTGTCTCAAATGTGCTTACCTGTATTGCTTTGTAGGTTGTTGAACTGTTCCTTTATTTTATGTAATCAAGAATGACAAACATTCTGCCGGTTCAAATTAGAGTTCTCAGGCATTTTACATTACCAGTATTCCTGCTTACAGTTCTTGGCAGTTATTTTGCAGTACCTTCATCTTTCAAGTTAGATGTCCGTTAGCTGTTATAAGTAGCTGCACTTCTGACTACAGTTTAATTTGTGCTAGACTGTTTCTTTGCAGACTGTTCTTCTACTTTAAAGCAAAATTGATTACTGAAACTGTGCTACAACTGTTATTTTTAACTAAGGAACCTGGAAACATACATCCTTGTTTTAATATGTTTAAAGGAAACAAGCTTCATACTTAATTTTGGGAAGTATATTAAAAAATGTTTAACGCTTTCCTCCTTTTTTTAGTTATCTGAAATGACTGAAGTGAAGATCTTAAATCAAACTATGATGCCCTGTCAACAAAACCAGCATGAATCAGAAGCAAAAAAAGGTAAAATATTGCATGGAGATCTGTGTCAGAATTGTGTTTTCTGAATGGAAGATAATTGAGCTTCAAAGACATGTGGGCTGCCTGTATTTTTTTCTGATTAGCCAGTGCCTTGAGAGTTTGGCTTCCTTCTATACCACAATTTGAGAGCAATATGAAACCTTTCTATTTTTCACATAACACTCTAGAGAAAGTGTAAAACTTGGCCCTAACTGAGGTAGGAAGCCTCCACTAGTAGACTTGCTTGCATGTATAGTTACATCTTTTTTTTTTTTTTTTTTTTTAAACCAACAAGCAGAAAAAAAACCCTGAGCATAAAAAAATTTCTTCACACAAAATCCTGTTTTTGTGTAAATTGCTTCTGTATGTAGACGTACAGGTTTGAGTTACATCCTTTAGCCTGATGCAGGGGTCAGTTATCTTTAAGACTATTGCATGCAGTTAATTTAAGAATTCAGTAGTTCACAGAATCACAGAATAGTAGGGGTTGGAAGGGACCTCTGTGGGTCATCTAGTCCAACCCCCCCGCCGAAGCAGGGTCACCTACAGCAGGCTGCACAGGACCTTGTCCAGGCGGGTCTTGAATATCTCCAGAGAAGGAGACTCCACAACCTCCCTGGGCAGCCTGTTCCAGTGCTCCGTCACCCTCAGAGGGAAGAAGTTCTTCCTCATGTTCAGACGGAACTTCCTGTGCCTCAGTTTGTGCCCATTGCCCCTTGTCCTGTCACTGGGCACTGCTGAAAAGAGCTTGGCCCCATCCTCCTGACACCCACCCTTCAGATATTTATAAGCATTTATTAGGTCCCCTCGCAGCCTTCTCTTCTTCAGGCTGAACAAGCCCAGCTCCCTCAGCCTCTCCTCGTAGGGGAGATGTTCCAGTCCCCTCATCATCCTTGTAGCCCTCCGCTGGACTCTCTCCAGTAGCTCTTCATCTTTCTTGAACTGGGGAGCCCAGAACTGGACACAGTACTCTAGATGAGGCCTCACTAGGGCAGTGTAGAGGGGAAGGAGAACCTCCCTCGTCCTGCTGGCCACACTCTTCTTGATGCACCCCAGGATCCCATTGGCTTTCTTGGCAGCCAGGGCACACTGCTGGCTCATGGTTAACCTGTCGTCCACCAGGACACCCAGGTCCCTCTCCGCAGAGCTGCTCTCCAGCTTCCTTTTAGTTTGGCTTCCTTTTCCTGCTCTTACTACAGTGCTTCTGAAATACTAATTTTCTCATGGTTAGAAATCATTTAATTTCTTTCATAATTAGTCCTGGACAGTTTGTCCTTGTGTAAACACTGTCCTTAAGGTTTGCTCCTTATGCTTTTCTTTCTGTACTGCCTGTCACTCAGTACTCATAAAGCGTAATAGTGTTTTTGTCATGGTTTGGTAGTTTAAGCAAACCAAACATTTACTCTTTTTTTCATTAAGGGATAATGTCAGATTCCAAATGTGTTCTCCTCTGCACCGCTTCCTGCCTATTTCTTCATTCTTAAACATATCACGGGAACTGTGACAGTAATCCATGTTAGGTCATCAGTTCATTGACATAATTTTTTCTAATAATGTCTTCCTGTAATAAGACATCTTAGATCTCCAATCCTTAAGTAATCTCTGGAGACTTGATTTGTTCTGTTGCTCTTAGTACTCAAGAATTGAAAAAAATTCTGTGAAGTTTTATTGAGCCTTTCCTATTTTTACTCAGTCTGAGGTTACCATCACCCGGGTTCTTGAGCAGTAATTCTACAGTGTCGTGTGTTACAGACTTGAAAGTAAGTCTTCCATGTATTCCCTTTCAGGTTCATTTCTTTTATTCTTCATCTTGGTAAACATAATACTGTTCTGTTCTTTGGGTATAGTTTGGTGTCAGACTCATGAAGTTCTGACTGTCTGGTTGTGGCTTTCTGATCCTTTCTCATTGATACTGCATGTGATGCGTAGGGACTATTGCATTCTACATATCTTAAATGGCTTCTCATGAGATCCTAGTCTTTGTATAAGCCATCACTTTGGATCTTTTTAGTGGGTAGTTGCTCTGTGATGCCTTTGTGAGTCTACTCCACATTTGTCCATAATGTCAAACTTTTTCCAACACTTGTTTTCAGAGGGCTTTTCTTTGTTTGTTTATTGTTGTAATCCTTTCCTTCAGAGTAACATAACTTTAGAGGTCCTATTGTTAAGCTACTGGCTACAAAGAAGTCTTCCCACCTGCTTCCATTGCACCATGAAATTTCCATTGGAACTCCATTTTAGTCTCCAGTTGTACCTGTATTTATTTCTAGATAATATTTTCCATTTTATAGCTGTTCAGTGGTAGTATGCCTTTAATTATCTCTCTCTACAGTTCTTCAGTGCTTTTTACTGCTGTCTCAGTCACTTCCTTGCATTCTCTTAGAATCATAGAATTATAGAATGGTTTGATTTGGAAAGGACATTTAAGATCATCTAGCCCAACACCCTGCAATGAGCAGGGACATCTTCAACTAGATTAGGGTGCTCAGAGCCCCATCCGACCTGACCTTGACTATTTCCACGGATGGGGCAGCTGCCACCTCTCTGGGCAACCTGTTCCAGCATTTCACTACCATCATTGTAAAAAATTCCTTCCTTATACCCAGTCTGAATCTACCCTTTTTCAGTTTAAATCCATTACGCTTTGTCCTATCGCCACAGGCCGTACAAGAAAACCTGTTACCATCTTTCTTGTCCTTCCAGGTACTGGAAGGCTGCTCTGAGGTCTCCCTGCAGCCTTCTCTTCTCCAGGCTGAACAGCCCCAGCTCTCTCAGCCTTTCCTTACAGGAGAGGTGCTCCATCTGTCTGATCGTTTTTGTGACCTGCCTCTGGCCCTGCTCCAACAGGTCGAGATCTTTCCTGTGCTGAGGGCTTCAGAGCTGGATGCAGGACTCCAGCTGGAA